CACAATGGTTGATAAAAAGTGAAGATAATTGGCCTAAGGAAAATCAAGAGCTTGCAACTATCGATAATGAAGAGGTTGACAAGTCAGTAGTTCTTTCAATAGATTCAGAGGTGGAGAAAATTATTAATATTGAAAGATTTGGAAATTCAACGAAAATTTTACGTATCACTGCGTGGATAAGAAGATTTATCTTTAATCTTAAAAATAGAGAAAACAGAAAAACCGGAACTATTAGTTGCGAAGAATTACAATCAGCAGAAGAATATTGGATAAAGACAACTCAGGAAGAGCATTTTGGAGAAGAATTGAAGGCACTAAAAAGAGGAGAAGACATATCTTTAAAGTCAATATTGAAAAACTTTTTTATTTCGTTAGACGAAAATAACATCACTCGCTTGCAGAGCAGACTTCGATATGCTGAAATTAGTCACAACGAAGTATCTCCGATGCTACTGCCTAGTAGAAGTCACTTTACGAATCTTGTAATTCGCAGAAGTCATGAAAAATTAGGACATTCAGGAGTTGCCGATACATTAACAGACGTTCGAGAAACCTATTGGATTATTAAAGGAAGGCAAAGAATTAAGAGTATTATTTTCAACTGCAATCTTTGCAAGAAATTTCGAGCTAAGCCCTTTACCCAAGACGAAGCTCCTCTCCCTCCAGACCGCATTAAACAGGCTCATCCATTCGAAGTAACAGGAATCGACTATACAGGTCCTCTTTATGTGAAGAGTATTAACAGAATGAAAAAAGCTTACATTTTGCTTTTTACCTGCGCTGTCACCAGAGCCGTCCATCTTCAGCTCACTGAAGATCTGACTACAAAAACGTTCCTACTTGCTTTTAGAAAATTTGTATCCCGCAGAGGACTTTGTAGAAAACTGTACTCTGACAACGCAAAAACTTTCAAAAGAGCAAAAATTTAGATAAATTTATTGTGGAAATTTTTAAAGGACGAAGAAATTTAGAATTATTTTGCCACCAAAAACATAAAATGGAATTTCATCGTTGAAAGAGCTGTCTGGTGGGGCGGATTATGGGAAAGACTGATAAAATCTACAAAAATATGCCTTAGGAAAATATTGGAAGAACATCTTTGATGTTTCCGGAATTAGAGACCATAGTTATTGAAGTTGAAGCAATTATAAATTTCAGACCTTTGTCTACAGTGATATTGAGGAACCTGAGCTGTTAACACCTGAACATTTCCTCATAGGCAGAAGGCTTGTTGCTCTCCCACCTCCCACAGCTTCGATTCAATCAACTTCTAGCAAATCCAATCTAGAACAAGGATGGAAGCAAAAAAATTCCCTCTTAGAAAGAATATGGAAATCTTTGTATCTTCTAGAACTAAGAACGACCCACCAGTTAAAGAGACAGAAAGAAAATGTTTTACCAACCAAAGACTCAACCGTCCTAGTGTACGACGAGAAACTTCCTCGACTCATGTGGAGAATGGGGATTGTCACCTGTGTCCATCCTAGACGTGATGGAAAGACTCGATCGTGCACAATTAGACTTTCTAATGGAACTAATTTAAAAAGACCAGTTCAACTACTATATCCTTGTGAACTTGGCTAAGAATCAAAAGGATCGAAAACTGTTTGTCCAATGGTCCTTTGGGGCCGGAGGATGAAGCAGATTAACTTGAATGCCCATAGATGCCGCTCGAACTGAACGAACATTAATGTTTTTTTCTTTTCTGTTTTAGTTTGATTTCTATGAAGGATGATCGTTTTTATGTTATGTCCGTCCTCTCATTAAATTTGTTTAATCATTAGAATTCGTTTTCTTTCGAACACAAGCAACACAGTAGAGAAGTTACGGTAAAAAGATTGAACCAGGTAAGAGAGAAAATTAGAATTATTTCTACTATACCTTTTTCACAAGGTGTTTCAAGTAACGTGAGAACCCTGTGAAATGTACTCTCACTACAATTTATTTTTAATAACATTTTCAATTTCTATTTCAAATTTAGATATAATTAACAATAACTAATAATAATTCCTAGTTTTTAAAACATCTAGAGAAAAAAATATTGTTGAAAAAACTGATATATATTAAATAAATTAATTAAAAGAAGAAACCTTATTAATAATGGCTGATGAATTGCATTATACCAAATATAAGATATTTATTTCAGATAAATAAAGAGTGAAAATAAAAATTTGTTTTCTATTTAAATTATTGCATATTTTAATAATTGCCAACCAGATTTTACGGTTTTTTCTTGCTTTTTTTCTCAATATATACATAATTTAAAATGTTCGGCTAGATATATCAGGTTGTGTAGCAAAATTTCCAAACAAATAAAGAGCACTTCTTAAGCACTCAAAAAATATTTTCAAGCTCTTTTTTTAAAAGAAAATATTAAAAATATTGCAATAAGTATAAGCGCACTAATTAAAAGCTTTTTCTTCCTATTGTTAGAAGTTCAAATGCGTGTGTGTACATAAAATTGTGCAACAATATGACAAAATGGATTATAAATTTAATTGTGAAAATGTTGTACCAAACATTGTGAAAACTATGCTTTTTGCTTAATTCATGGCAACAATTGCTATGGCAAGAAAAAAATTTCATTTTGGAGAAGAAAGAATTAACCACTTTTTATAAACACTCAATGAAAAAGAATATGCCTTTAAGAGCTTTTACCAAAATCTCAAACAAGCACATGTAAGCACTTATTTTCAAAAAATGCTAAGCACAATCCAACAGAATTCCAGTATACATGCCCAGGTATATCATTCTGGCAATTTGCTAAAACTATGTTATTCTATTTCAACAAATGAAAAAACGGATTAAATAAATAATAAAACTAAACAAAAAAACAATAATCAGATGTATTTAAAATTCGTTTCAAGATCTCTGCAGGGAAGAACCGAGGGTGCCATCTTCCCTTCAGAGGATCAAAATTGTGGCCTCCTCGGATCAATCTCAGATGTTTCCCAGACCGTCGCCAATAGCCCATTGCGCAGCTCTAGTGTGACATAAATGAACTACAACAACATCAGGATCATTGCTTAATAAGGAAATTAAATTATTAATCTATTTAATTCTTTTATAACATTGCTAGCATGTTTAAAAATATTTATTTACCTTTTCACTTTCAACTTTCCATTTTTACTCCAATAAAATCAGAATGTTTTCTAAGAAAAGAAAACAATACACTATCTAATGAACTCAGATTATATGACCGATCCTTTACGAATCCATGTTTCACTGTCATCATTCTCTTCAAACTTTTAAATTTAGTTATACAGTTTATTTAAAAAAAAGAATTGTTCGTAAACAGCAAATTAATAAATGCCACAAAATGGCCAATTGAAAACAACACAGCGCAATGCTTTGTGTAAAGTGAAACTATATGCCATTTTCAGTCATGTAGCTTTGTTTACCAATTTTGGCCTTTTTATTTGTCTTAAACATTTGAAGTTTTCGTGAATTTGTTGAATGGATTTTTTCATGATTAATTATAACTAATATAATTAGATTTTAATAGGTTTTACAACATAGTGCATAAAGATACAACTGCTTCATTTTTGAGGGGAAAATAAATTTAATTTAAAAAATATTAAGATAAACATTTTGATAAATATTATGAAGACAATTAGTAAAACATTTCTTATCAATATTTATCATAATACTATTAGAATATTGAAATAAAAATAAAGTAATAAAATCTCACTCCCTCTTCCTAACAATTTATATGAAGCGTTTTATGAGGGGAAAAACAATTGGCAAATGGTCAAACAGGGGAAAGTTAAGAAGCTTGATTTCATTTTAGTAGTAAAAATTGTTAGTCCAGTTTAGCTTAAACTAGTTACACTGGTTTTAAGCACAACTTTTTTTTTATTTTGCTATCATTTCTAATTGTTTTTAAATATTTTTTAATAAAAAGCTGTAATGTTTTCTCACTATAAAATTTCAAATAAAATGATTTCATTTTCATACTTAATAACAAAACCTGATAAATTCCATAGTCATGAAACGGAGCAATTGGATTTAATAAACTAGATAAAAAAATTTACACTTTGAACCAAAGTTTACCATATAACACTGGAAAAAAATGGGATATTATGAACATGAGCTATTCAAACTATAGCAAAAAATTGAACCATTTCAGAACACCATTTCTTGATTAATTAAACAAAAATATGGTTCATATTTAAATCATTAAGACAATTAAAAAATTTGATCTTCAAATAATTAACGAATCTAATTGCCTCGCATGCAACAGTATCGGTATAAAGCTGAACTTTCCATGGTAACAAAACATCAGAAACAAGTTCTCAAAATTACACAATAATAAAAATAACAATTTTAAGGAATTATTCTATTAATTCACTTCAATTTATAAGATTCTTTTGTTAGCTACATCTAAATGCCATTAATTTAAAATATCAAGTGAAATAATTTCTTACTAATCTTAATATCCTCTTTAAATCAAAATTTGTATTAATATTTCTTAATTATTAAAACAAATTCCAATAATTAAATTAAGTGTTTCAGTAGTTTTAATTATAGTTAAACATTTTTATTTAAAAATTCAATTCGTGAACGATCCTTTAGCTGGCCATTTTTTAAATCACTATGTATATTGAATTGTTACGTGGGTTAAAATCATTTAAAAATACTGAACACACAATTCACGTTTTTTTAAAACATCTCCATCAGACAAGATTTGATTTCATCTTTTAAAAATATTAAGTATAAGGTCGACTCTCCCTTAAAATTCCATATTAAAAAATTTTATTTATTTTTATTTTAAATATTATTATTCAAGAGTCATAAAATTCAGAAACATAAGAGGCAGAGTAGATACTTCAATCACTAATGAACAAATTGTGAAAGGACCCTTACATTAAGATTCAATTTTAGAAAAGGAAAAAAAAAATAATTCAGTAGAAAAGTGGAACAGACAACTCGCAAACAATCATTTACTTTTAAAAAAGCATTTCACACATAAAGGTACATTGCAAAATAAAGATACATACAAAGAACCAATAAATGTTGAGCAGCTGCAATATCCACAGCAGACTGTTCATGAGAAGAGCACACGGAAGAAGCAGCTGCAATCTTTGCACATCTGATGTTGCAGTGTATAAAACTCGAAGCGGGTACCAATAGAGGCGTGCTACATACCTACAAGAAATCACATGTACTTAACTGCCATAAAGGCAAATTCAGATGAAATAAATCACATTTCTACAAGAAAGAAATAGGGATAGAGAGAAAACTCACGCAAAATATATTGCACTGAAATTTTGAGGAATTTTCTCTACGCAATATAATCAGTAAAAATAGTGTAAAATAGATATTTTATTAAAATATCTGACAAAAGTAAACCTTCTGATGTAACTTAATGCATTCAATTGCCTTAATTTGCATTTCATTGATGAAAAAAATCCTTTAGCTATAGAAATTATTTCATGTAAAAATAAAAAATTATATTTTAGAGGGCAATTACTTAGTTTTTTGGAATATATTAAAATTTTGTTTTTTTCATTCTAGTCTGATAAAACAGGATGAGTACATTAAAAAGAAAAAATTATCTCTTTTCCCAATGAATTAATTTTTTGTAGCAACAAATTAATATTATAACCCTTCTATGTAAGGTTAACATTCACGAGTTTTAAAATTACAGGAAGGATGAACTTATTGTTAATTATGCTAATCAAATGCAAGAATTAAGAAATCACAAAAACAAAAAAAATTAGCATGTTCCTTTTGTAATGCTACACACAGGCTTCATGTGCTTATTGTTTGCAGTCCAAACGCTATAACTAGCCTTCCAGGAATTTTGACAAAGAATACTGCAAAATATAGCTACACAATTAAAAAATGTCTTAGCTTAATACAAGAGAGATTCCACAGGGGAAAAAACGGCATATTTTAAACATGGCTTATTTGATCGATTGAAAACACTAGTAAAAAACTCAGATGTTGAAATCACTAAAAATAATTCTTTAAGCAATAAGAGAGCACAGAAATGAAGAGTTTTCAGTCATCTTTAAATTAAATGGCGACAGCCCTCTACTAGTTTCAGTAAATTATAGCAGTATTTTAATCAAAAATACTGTCCCGGTTTTACCGAACTCTTCCCAATTAATATGAACTACGAAATTTTTTTTTAGACAAACTAGCTTATAATTTATATAAATTCCTATTACCTTCTAGAGAAGAGATAAAAATAAACAGGGAGATTGATATTTTAAGCAATTATAAAATAATGATATAGGAAATTAGGAATTAGCTTCATAAAGGCTCAAAATAAAAATTAGAACAAAATTTTTCAAAACAATTATAAAATTTTTTGGTGCAATACATACATACTAGATTTTTAGGAAGAGCAAAAAAATATATAGTGTAATTCGCTGATTTGAAAATTTTGTTTTATGCGACATAGTTTGTTGATTCTCCACAAAAGGAAAGAAATGAGCAATAATCAAAGTTTTCAAATAAAAAATTAACATTTGAACAAGTTGATGGGAGATGGCTAAAATATGGCGTAACTTCGCAAATGTTTACATTCAAAGATAAATCTCGGAACCTAACTTTTCTTGTCTTCAAAAAATAGATTCCTCAATTTAAAGATAGATCAAAATAAGTTAAAAAGAACTGATAATTATAGTTATTTTCATGTAACAAAAAATTACTTCAAAACAAGATCGTATATAATCTATATGCTAAAGAAATGTATACAAAAATAAACATATGATAAAAAAATTCAATGTTACACATTGTAATCTGGATAGAAAGACCAATTACTCTTAGAGTACTTCGAAAATAATAAAAAGAAAAGTAAAATAATGCTTTCACCAACTTGATGGACAAGAGGAAAAGAAATTACAATGGAAAAATGTTAAGTTTATCTTTAACATACTTTTCTACATAGCGATCAGCAGAGGTGCATATCCCCCCCCCTCAAGGCTGATAGGGACACCCCATCTAAATATAAAAAATCTTTTTCATTTCTGCGTACAAAAATATATAAAAATTTTTTATTTAGACAAAAATTTTTTTTTAGCTATATATGGTCTAACTCAATTGGATTCACTGTTAGAAATAGTCTGTAAAACATTATTTTCAAATGACGAAATTAATATTGCAAAAAAGAATTGAAAAAAACAATTTAAAAAATAGATAGTGAAACACTAACATACAAAGTGATGTGTCCCTTAAAAAATTATACCAATTTAAAGACTAATTCAATTCATGCCATTGAGCCTAAATTTAATGTAATTAAATATTTGTTCAAATGTGACTAAATGTTTTTTTTTAAAAAAAAACTTTCATACAAGAATTAATTTGAAGATGGCGGAAAGGAATTTTATAATTATATAACTCTTACGATATATTTTCATATATTATGCATGAATTAGCAACACACTCTTTCGATGTTAATCTTATATTTACAAAAAGGATAAACATTTTATCACAACAGTTTTTTTTAAAAAAAAATCATTTTTATATGATTATCATATCACAGCACGATAAGTGTTAATATTAATATTAAAAAATTTTGAAGCTCATTTAACAGCATGATATAAAAGTATTAAAAAGTATGAAACTCAAAAAAATCTTTTCAGCAATCCTCGTATATTATTTTTAAAATATTTAATTAATTTATCAATATGTAATTGCTAAAAATAAATTTAATTTACTTGTAATATTTAATTAAGAATATTTAATTAGTTCAGGCTTAGTTTTACACTGTGATATTCTTTTTCTGTGGTTTTTTCTGTCATTTTATTTTTTGTTGCTTCTTTTTCATTAAACTACTTAATTTTTAAAATTATTTTTCATTAAAACCAATTCTGAAACATGACGGATTTTATAAGTTTAACTTTTTTTTATATATAAAACATCGCCCTTTATCATCGATAAGAGCACTTTCCCCTGAACTATTAGTAACAATTGATGTAAGCAAGTGTTTCCCAAACTTATGACTTTTGTGTACCCTTTCACAATTTTTCGTTACACTGTGTACCACTAATAAAAAAGAAAATTATATATTTTTTACTATAAAAAAATTGTACAAAAGTTAAAAATCACAACTGGCTGTTAACACCACTAATTATTAACTGTTAACTCCGCAAAAAATAGCCAATAGAAAAATACGTAATCGTAATTTTCATGGCTAGCTTTGTTCTCAAATAAAAATTTTTGAAATTTTCGTTTATTGCAAGATATTTCGCATAGGAACGCGTACCCCCACTAAACTGTTCCCCTACCCCTGGGGGTACGCATGCCACACTTTGGGAAACACTGATGTAAGCAACTGATAAAATAAAAAAAGAAATTAAAGTAAATGGGAAACATGAGAATTGGTTGATTAAGTGAAGTGGTTATGCATATAAAACTTTTCAAAATCCATAGGTTTCTCTATTTTGCATCTAACTCTTTTTCCTCATTACATTCAGGAAAATCCTTTTCTTCTGCCCCGATCTTTCACACCATCAAATGTTTGCATTACTTCATTATCTGGTACCAAGGAATTTTTTCTTCTACCAAAATTGAAGAGTTATCGTTGAAAGGAGGCTTAGTAACGCTACAGTCACACAAAAATAAGGATGTGTTGAATAAAAACTTAGTTTTTTTAAAAAACTTCCAACTTTTTTTCCAATATCATAAGGATATAATACAAATGATCAAAATAGCCACAGCAAAAATGGTTTTAAAAAATATCCCCATTAAAAAAATAACGAATATTAAAAGTAATGCTTTAGCTCAACAAATGCACTATTTATAAATGTGCTCCTCTCATTATGTAAATTTCAAGTTAAAGATATAAAAAAAAATTAGCTGGAAAGAATAGTCGCCACTAAAAACAAAAATCAGAGTATTAAAAAAATATTTTTTTAAAATTTAACCTGAGAACTCCTGTTTTCTCAAACAAAGCCACAAGTCGTAAACGCACTTCTCTTGTCATTATTGTAATTTTTTTTAAGCTGTAAAAAACATTACCTTTTGCTAGCATGCTATTTTATTATACTTAAGTTTTATTGTTGGATTATTAAATATAGTTTTCAGTCATCATGATTCTTCCTTAAGCATAACATCAAAATGCACAAGCACACAACATAACGTGTACATAAGAAACGCAATACTTTAAAAAAAAATTTTAAAAACGTCTAAAAAGGAAAGCAAAATAATACAAGGTTGAGTCATTTACATTGCTTCAATAATCACAGATCATTTTGGCTACAAAATGATAGTTAATTTTTAACAGACAATAAACTTACAATATTTTACAGAAGAGGAGCTGCAACAGAATAGTCACAGCAGTACTTAACTTTATATCAGTCATACATAGAAATTCTGCAAGTGTTTTGTTAGATTCTTTTATCAAGGTAAAAAAAAAGGGGGGAAAATGTAATACACAGGGATGAGAGCAGTTAGAAAGTAAAAAAGAGGAAATCCAAGAGTGAGTGAATATATTTATAATATTTATTTTTATTTGTGCGTATATATGTATACATCCATCCAAAAATTTGACAAAAAAACTGCAATTTTTAAACTTGTAAACCAATGGATTATAAATCCCGAAGATTAATTTTAAAATTGTATGAATATATGTGGGAAGCGTATTCCACATGTCATGCACACGTACATATATCATTGCGCACCTCCCCCACGCATATCATGGCGTACCTCCCCACACATCGAATGATGGTAGCCGACGAGGCAGATGGCCTCTTCTAATAAGTAAAGTGTGTTTTGTATATTGTCGTGTGTTATGTCCTATATGTGAATAAATGTTACTTAACATAGTTCTGATGCTCCTTGCCTTTCCCCATATTTTGGGGGCTCGTCCTTCCCTCCTGCAATCCTAAGACAACAATACCCCTAGACACCTGAAGCTGTCGAAAAATAAAATGCACCAAAGACGTTCTACATTTTATTTTGATGAATTGCATTAAGACGTTAACAAACAGACGTGTTGTTTGAGTTGAATTGAAGTTCTTCTTCTGGACGATATTAAAAGATGATATGTTACAATATTTTTTTTGACGGACGGACTGCACCCAATACCAAGGTAGGCGAAATTTTATTAATTTCGTATTCAGAATTTTTATATTAAATAGAATTGAATTCAAAAGATTAGTAATTTTGAACAGTTCCACTTTCTGCGTTAATAT